CCAATATTAACACTAAGGTTCTCTACCTTAGAGCTTGTCTCTATTTTCCTTCCTGAGGCTAAACTTACCTCAAGAGGGTCAATAGTGTTAATAATCTTAACTCCAATGGCATCTATACATCTCTTCGACACAAATGAATGTGTTGCTCCAGTATCAAATAATGCAAAAACAGGCATTTCATTTAAAATAATCATCCCAGACATGGTACCTGGGTTCTGCTCAGCTTCAACTTGATTGATAGCATAGACCTGAGCTTGTGGTTCTCCTCCCCTCTGCTGCTGAGGTTGACCCTGAAACTGCCGCTGCTGCCTTTCTGGACAAAACTTCATACCATGCCCAGGCTTCCGGCAATGGTAACATACATTTTGTCCAGCCAGACATTCTCCTCTGTGGAGCTTTCCACATTTGGTACAAGTTGGAGTCTGTCCGCCTTGCTGCTTCTGCTTATTCTTACGATCATTCTTGTATCCTTTCCACTTCCTCTTATTCTTTCCTTCCTTCTCTTGTGGAATAGGCATCATTTGCACTGGTGGTGCTGCTGGAATTTGTGATATTGGCTGTATCACAACTTGATCACCTCCTCTCTTGAAACTAGCTTCGATCTCATTAGCCTTGGTCACAACTTCAGTATAAGTATGAATATTGTGTCCAGCCACATGGTGACGAATCGAGGGTAGCAGGCCATCTCGGAAACGTCTCGCCTTCTTCGCCTCCGTCTCCATTAGATAGGGAGCAAAGGATCCCAATCTAGTAAATTCTCGTTCATACTCATCTACTGAACGAGTTCCTTGAACTAACGCCAGAAATTGGCGTTCCATCTCCGCTTTGTAATAGTCAGGGTAGTACTTATCATTCATCATCTCCTTAAATTTATCCCAAGTGAGATTTTCTTTCTCACTAGGACGCATGCCCCAGTAAGAATTCCACCAGAGACGAGCATCCCCAGTCATTTGCAACTGAGCACAGAGAATACGATTTTTCTCCGAGCACTCAGTAATCTCAAAGATTGACTCCAGACCTTGAATCCACTCCTCCACTTGACGAGGATCTCCTTGTCCAGAAAACTTCTCAGCATTGAAACCACGAAACTGGGCAACTACTTCTGCTGATGTCATCTCTCTTTGACCTTGGTTCACTCTTCGTGCCATCTGGATTTTTAATCCATTATTAAGTTTTAGCACAATCATATTTTCAAGATAAGCCATTATTTCTATACAAGTTATTTATTAACTTGATAACTTCTAAATTTATTGGGAGTAACATGATAGTCTTAAAATCTTTGCTTAAGTATCTTTTCTAATTTGGATATCCGAATCTTATTGAGCATAGACTTAGTAATTTGCTTATATAAAAACTTTCATAAAACTTAACAACACTTACCTGGTAGTCGGCGAGGTGTGAGTGTGGTGTGGTCGGTTTTCCTGAAACTTAAACTTTTAGTATACAGAGCACTTACTTTGGCTCTGATACCACCTGTAACACCCCGCTTATCAGAGTAAATTTTTCGCAACTTTTATTTCGAAATTACTTATAACTCTTTCGAAATCTTTTTGCGAATAACTCGGGATGCTACTTAAACTCCTTCTTCCTAAAAATCTGTTTAACTTTAACTTTGTCTAATTATTTATTTTAGACATAACAAAACAGATTTATATATATACTTGCATTTAACTATATCATGTTCATATTTATGAAATGATAAAAACTTGAAATCTGAATTTATTTAAAATGCAAGTTCACATATTAATAAGCGTAGCGGAATTACTTAAAAACGTGAATAATTATACAGACTTATTTCATTTATTACAAATGTCCTTTGAAATGAGTACTCGACCATCACCACCACTTTATTTGCTCACACCTCCGGCCCGACCCTGTTACCTGAAAAACATAATGGGGGTGAGTACTGGTCCTTTTGTACCCCGTTAATACCCATACTAAAGTAAACATCAATAATAATACAATATCATGATCTTTGGTATATATATAATAACTGTAACTTAATCTGGCCGATATATTATCGGATACTTGTGCACAATCTGATGGATATTTCTAAGGCACGTATCGCCTCCATCAGAACTTAGGATATAATCTTCGAGACAAATTAATGCCTCCTCATCCCAAGCGTATAAACTTAAACTGTATACATACCTCGAACATGATATCAATATTATACTCAATGTAATACCCAGTCTGGGTCCCCACCTTTCTCCTTTGAAATCGTAAGTGTTGGTCTCGAGTAGCTAACTCTTCAAGCTACATAAAAATACGTAAACAAATATACTAAGTACTATGCTCGTATACTCGGATTTTCAACTCTTTCGGATAAATCATCCAAATCTTATAAAATCTCAATATTCTTGTTATGGTTCAAACTTTTCTTGATCTTTTACTCAATCAAATACTTACTCATATTATTTCTCCCAAATCTTATACATATGGCTTATACTCATTTTTCACTTGATTATCTCGAAAGTGAAAAATAACTCAAATCATACTAAACTTTTCATCATAATATTAATATGTGAGATTTACAACAATCTTTATAAAATTGTATACTCAACATATTAAACTAAAACTTGGTCAAATTGCTCATTACTCATATAAGAATTTTTTTCTAAAAATTCCATTTTAAAACTTAACCATGTACTAAATACTCTTGCATATAAAATCATCTTGACATGTATGCCATATAAATATTTTAACTCGCTCATTTCTCAACATAAAATCATGAAATTTGGCAGTCATGTTCTTAACCCATATATAAGCATGTCGTAAAAATTTCATAATTTTATCATGCGTATATATCGAGTTATTAAAATTTTAAAGTCACAGCTGAAATAAAGAACATAAAATTCAACTTGCATGCTTAACTTCAAAAATTTATAACTCAAGCTATACTATGCCAAATGACATAATTCTTTCACCTATATACTCAGCACTTACACAAGAAATATCCATAATAAGCTTAACATACCAGGTTATGCATATCATGCTCAAATTCAAATCAAAACAGTACATATATAACATGTGATTGTGCTGGAAACAACTTATCATATTTTTTTTATTTTTAAAATTTCTTTAAAAATTGAATATATATATATGGCATGAAAATACATCAATATTCACTTAATATAAACTATAACATATGATAAAAAGGTAGCATCTAACCTTCTTCAAGAAATTTGAAAATGAAACTTCGGAAGTTGATCTCAACTTATCTTCGTCAAGATTTCTCTCAATTTATCTCTCTTTCTTACCCTCTTTAGCTAAGACTTTGCTTATTATGATGTGAATTTCGAGTCTATGGTGATACCCCTTTATATAGGGTAGCAAAGGAGACAATATCACCTTCTTCACATCAATACTTCATCATAATAAACTCATTAGGGCCCTTGCCATTAATGTTTTTCTAAAATCATGCACAAAGTTGAGTAAGCTTTGAAAAGTACTTGTAATGCATGATTCATCTTGTATATATCAAGACAAACTCCTCCATTTGACCAATCCTCCATTATGGCTCGAATTTAGTCTTAAATGGCTCATTTATTGCTTAAAAATACTAAAAAAATGGTTATAAAAATAAATAAAGATAAAGAATAAAAATCATAACTTGTAAACTTCTCAAATCTATAGTCAATGCTTAGAAAGGGCCATCTTGTGATCCTAATCTAGTTTCCATGATAAAATTCGTGACTTAATGAAAAATCTCCAATTTACGGAACCGAATTCTGACTTAAAACGAACGGTTACCGAAAAATCGAAAATTCTGAAAATTTCAGATTTCCATCTTTTTCTTTTGACCTTTTTCCTTTTTATACTGAAAAAAATTTTAGCTCTTAATAATGATCTTGAAAGTTGTAAAAAGATACAAGAAAATAAATTTTTCGGAAACGAAATCGGACTTAATTATCGTTTACAACCGAACATCTAAAAACTCGAAACTTGCGAATATAATTTTGAATATACTCTTAATAATATAAATAGACCTTCTTGTCTAAATAACTTCTACTTAATCATTATAACTTATCAAATCATATAAGTCACATAAAATACTTAGGCAATTTATAACATTTACTCGACTAACTCAATTTAATGAAAAACGATTCTGGTTTAACTTTAATGTCAAGCCAACTAAAAATTAAAATTCTAAGATATTTATTAAGGCTTGAAAATATAAAAGATCATTATTAATAAAATTAAAATAGTTCTAACTTAGAACTGAAATAATTACTTTTACTGAATGGGATATTACAGTAAAATCTTTTAAGAAAAGCTAAGAAATACAGTTTGTGACGGAAGAAAGAAAGATAGAGAGAGAGGGAGATGGAGAGAGAGGCAGCGAGAAAACTCGAGAGAGAAGTAGCGAAGATTTGTCAAAAATTAGGGTTCAGGTTAATTTTATACCGCATCACTCTGAGACATAAGTACAATACGTGTTCATTTTATATTTCAGCAGTCACATGTTACAACGCATAAGTTTAAAGGGCCTGAAACCTCCAAATTGGGCTAGATAAAAACTTTAAATACTGGCCTATTTTTTATTTATCTATTTATTAATATTTTTAAATGCAGTCCAATCCTTAAAAACTAGCCCGATTTTTATTTGTCCAAACATTATGCTTTTAAAAATTTGGGCTCACATGTTTCACATGTAGTACAAAAATTATTCATTTGCACAAGTAGAATCATTACATGGTACACATAATAGTGATTGTTAAAAATTTTATTTTACCAAACAAAACTTATTATAATTAAAAAAACTTATAAAATAATTAAATAAAATATAAGTTAATTTTGCGCCCCACCAAACTCAGTCCTAAACTCGATTTGACAAACATGAATATTTCAGGAAAAAAAAAAGGAAAGTAATTTGTTATCTTTCGCATTAAAAGGAAAAAAAAGGACTAATAAGAGAGAGTATTAGAAAGAACGATATATTTCGTCTCGTTAATCAATCTTACGGATTATCCAATCTTTGCGCAACAGAATAAAAATCAATGGAAAACCCTAACCATGACGGCGCCGCTTTTCCACCCCTCACCGACCACGAACCCACGGCGCACCAATCGGAGCCCGCCGCATCCCGGCAGAGTTTTGACAGCAGCCATAGGCAGTTGATCCAATCAATGGTGGAAAACTTGTCGGAGTCGGAGAAGGTCAACCTAATATTGACAGCCGCCATGAGGTACGCCGTCGTGCGCGGAGACCTCATTACGGCGCTGGCCAGGAACGAATCTAGGACGATCTGCATCCATATCCTAGCCTGTGACGCGACAACACCAGTTAAGGTGTTTCGTGTGCTTAACGAATTCGGGGGCATGGATAACGCCCACTTCCAGTGGTATTTCGAACCGGATTACGTCATTGCTATGGTCTCTTTTGTCGATCCAAGGGCCGCAACACGGGTCCTCCAGACGTCGGCTGAGGATGTGGAGGAGCTTCAGCTCCAATGGCATGCCTACACTGCCGATTGCGCCGCCTGCCGTCGGGCGTGGACGTAGGCAACTCGAATCTTTATGTTTATATTATTTGCTAGGCTTTTTTTTAGTTCACTGGGTAGCGTTTTGGCTGAATTAGATGATGACACTTGATTGATCTTTTGTGCACCGGTTAATTTGGTTGAACCTTTGGATTCTTAAGCTTATCTGTCTTCGAGTAGTATCATTTGAAATGCTACCTTCATGTCCATAGCAAAATTCAATAACTTCACCTTTTCCTCTCTTTTGTTCTTTTTGTGCAACTACTACATAAGAAATATGTATGATTTTGTCTATTTGGGATGTGTAAAAGCGTTCATTGTCATATTCCTTTGACTGGGTTTAATTTGGCTTAGTAGAGATATTAGTAGTCATGTAACTCGAGTGATGCGTACCATGAACTCATCTTAAATTCCTAAAAATTACTATGAATTGCAAATAAATTAACGAGATTACCATCACCCTCGTGTACTATATGCCTCTAAGTAACAACAATAATCAACGAGATTACCATCACCCTCTTGAAATAAATTAACTACATATCCTTATTGAAATAACACAATTTATCACACGGTTCACTAATTTATCACACCATCTTATAGTAATAAAAATCCACTCGAAATCATTCACAAGCTGAAGCAGTTTATTCAAAGCCCAATCTCCCATTTTATTTTCATTTTTTTCGCTTCCTGCAAATTGAAGTGAAAAGGGAACCCCCAAAAAATAAAGAAATGGATAGTGAAGAAGAAATGAAAAAGGCCGATGATGGAAGAAAACAAGGAGGAGGAGGAGCAGCAGCAGAAAAGGACGAAGAAAACGAGTCAGGGTCGCCAAAAGATTGAGATAAAAAAGATAGCAAAGCCTAGCAACCGGCAGGTGACCTTCTCTAAGCGGAACAAAAACTCTCCCCAACCAATTCATCTTTTTTGTAAAACACCTCGTCAAAAAAAGGGATGACCCATGACACGAGCTAGGTTGTCTTTTTCGTAATTCGTATAACTATAAGGCATACAATTGAAAATATACATCACATATTAGGTGTTTCTTTTCCAGTCTTTGCAAATTGCAATCCCATCTACGACTTATACCAACAGACAAACATAATAAAAATTAGCATCTTTTTCGCCCAAGAATAAACTATAATTCTTTTTACAAACAAGACTTCTTTTTCACTTCAAAGGGTACGATCTCAATGATCACACACCACATGATAGTGCTGTTTTGTCGCACAATGTAATCACCGCACCATGATCGAACAATAGAATCACACAACATGACTGTACTATATGATTGCTTATCACCATGTGGGGTGCAATGTTAAACGGATGGTTTGAACAACGTAGTAGAGTATATTTTCATTCAGAGTGAAAATAAGTACTTTCACAACAAAAAACAGCACATTTCATAGAACTAGGAAGAAATAAAGTAGAACATCCTGTTCCATTAAGATGAAATAAACAACACCCACTGACCACTGTGCTAATTCTAATCTCTAGCTAATCATATCAACAATATTCAAATCTATAACAAATAATATAAAATAATGATGAGAAACTTCCATCCATCACAAACCGCCCCTCTGGCAGATAGAGCAAACCGTGGTGAGCGAGTGCCATCGGAGGTGATGCCTGTTCATAACCTCAACAGGTGTTTTGATGGCTCGTCTTGCCGCCTGGAGATCGAAATACTTGACCGTAGCTAGAGTGGTAGACCAACGAAATCCCAGCGCTTCAACATCCCCAAATTCCCTAACAGCACCATATAGGTTGTTCATACTCGTCTCACCACTCAGAATATGGACGTAGATTTTCCTACTCTCGTCCCGGGCCACCACACGTCCAAGCTCCGCCACCCGTTCGGGCACCTCGGAGAGGCTTCGGGGAAACACCAGCGGTGTTTGGCGGTAAGGTCGGGAGATGAGTTTGCGGAGATCAAACAGTACGGAATAGTGATTAGCCGCAGCCTCGGTGATCAGATCGGACTTGACCGACTCCGGCAAGTACGCAACCTTTGTTGCCATCCGTTGCAAGTTAATGTTGGAGAACGACGGCGCGAATCGGAAGGAATTGGATGGATTGGATGGGGGTGTTTGAGCGGCGCCGTCGAGGTTAGGGTTTTCCATTGGATATTATTCTTTTGCTTTCGCAGTTTCGCTCTTTCCCTATATTTATATTTCTCAATTTCGTATCACCAGATGTGAATGAATGGATGTGGTATAGTATAGATCACCAATTGTTTATGCTTACTTATATAATTGAATAAAGAAGTTATCTTGTGAGATTAGGAAAATAATTAGCCTAAAATTGTTTTGTGTCACAATTTTAGACTTTTAAAACAAATACCGAAATCTATTANAAGGTCTCGAATTCTACTATCAAGTATCAACTACCAACAATAAGTAATTTTTTGGTATATAATTGTTCATATAGTATAATACATATATAGATAAATACATAATTATGTACAACAGAAAGAATTTGACCCACTCAAATTTCATTCATCACAAGAACAATGACATTATTGTGTACATAAACATACATAAAACTCCCCCGTAGGGGTCTAATTATGCAAACATTGTACTAGACGCAACAATCCAATTAGGACTTCAAAAAATAATTTACATCATTCAATCAAATTAGTACACGATATATAAATATTAAATAACTCACTGTCACATACTTTGTTCGTTTAGACCTAAAAACAATAGAGCTAGATTATCTATTTTCTAACTCTTTTAAGCAGCATTGTTTTTTAACCAAAACATTAAATATTATAAATTTGATTTTAGTATATATATTTATTCTTTGATATAAGAAAAAATTATAGTTTTATTTATTATTGTTTACCATATAATATTTAATTACTATTTTATTATAAACTTTGTTGTCATATATCATTATTTATTATAAAAATTGTAGAAGTAGTATGTCTTATTTTTTTTTATTTTATGAAATGAGAAATATTTAATGCACGTTAGTATTATTTTATTTATATAATCAATTTAAATTATACAAATAGATTTAAAATTAAATAGTGTATAAATATTTTACAAAATATACACACGTTTTTTTAGAATTTAATTTTGTATACTAATTAAACAACTTTGATATAACAAATGCCAAAAACTCAATCCCTTGTATAATCAAGAGATTTTTCTAATTTGCATCATACGACTTTATTGTTTATTTAGCATACTGTGTAATATAAATATATTTTACAAGAATTTCATTATATAAAGAAATCAAAATAAAAAAAATGATAAAAAAAAATTAAACATGATTGACAATAATATACAAATAAATTCTAAATAACAACTAATATATTTCTATTTTATTTTTTACCACTATTAAAATATTTAATGTATTAGAACATCAATATTGTAAATAATATTAATAAGTGGTACATAATATTAATGGCATGATTGGTATGATGGAATGAAATTTGGTAGGAATGGAATGAATTGAAGAATGGAATGATTATGGGAATGGAATGAAACTTGTTTTGTCATTGATGCGTTTGGTATGCAGAATGAATAGGGCTGGAATGGAATGACATTATTATTTTTTATTACAAAAATAAATAAAAGCTTGTTTTAAAAAATAATATACTTTTAATAAATTATAAGTGCTTTTTTAATAATATATAAAAATAAAATAAACTATTTTAAATAATATATTTTTAATAATATATAAAAATAGAATAATATATTGTTTAATAATATAAAAATAATATATTTTTATTTTTAAAAGTAATATATTTTTAATATATAAAAAATCATATATTTTTAATAATATATAAAAATAAAATAATATATTTTTAAATTTTATATAAATTCTTTTTTTAGTTTTATTTTTATATATGTATTTAATATATCTAATTAAAAAATAAATAAAAGTAAGTTTTTAATTTTTTTATTTGAATTTTTTAAAAATAATTTTATTTAATATATTTTAATCATGATTTATATTATATCTTATATATTTATTTTTTATTATTATTTGTTAATTTTATTTTTTGAAAAATTGATTCCTACACACATGGGAATGAGAAAACCTTCCATTTACTATGGAATGGCTAATCCCATGGGAATGGGTTTTGCCATTCCCATTGGAATGGTCATTCCTTCCCAAAAAATATACTCCCTCCTTTTTTTAATAGATGTCGTTTTGAGAAGTTGCACACTAATTAAGAATATTTTTTTTGTCAATAATAACCCTCATTAATGAGGATAGAGATGGATATTTTGAAAAAATATAAAGAGTGAATATAAAAAGACATAGTGTATTTATTAGCTAGATAAGGATAATAATGGAAATATATGTACAAAAGATCCAAAACGTCATTTATTTAGATAATTGTTGATAAAGCCAAAATGACATTTATAAAAAAAAGGAGGTAGTACCAATTATGGAAATAAGAATGAAGAATGGAATGATTATTTCATTCTCATGTCATTCATTCATACCAATCATGCTATAATAGGTGTTAGAATAGTTTGGAAGGAAGACTTCTAAGATAGTATATCTATACCTTCATTAGAAAGAGGAGGTGACTATAATTAAATAGGCAAGAGTCCTAAAAAAGCGTGAGTGAGTGTCAAAGAGTGAGTGAGTGTCATGATAGAATAGTTATGGTGTTTTGTGTGAAAAATGAAATAAAAAAATATAGTTAAAAGGTGGACCAGTCTTATGATAAAATAGGTAGTGTTGTGGTTTAATAGATGAAATATGAAATATTATATTGTATGTAATTATCTCGGCTACTAGGCGACCATGCCGCCAATTAAGCGGCCAGGACAACTCAAAATAATAATATAAGTGTAAAATCAAGTTATCTGTAAGGCAACTCAAAATAATAATATAATTGTAAAATCAAGTTATTTGTTATTTGTTCATATTCAAATTGTATATATTTTTTTAATTTAGGTAACCAATCAGCTTATTTTTTAATTTAGATAGTCAGTCAGCTTAAATCATCGGTATCATACAGGACAACTCAAAATAATAATATAATTGTCAAATCAAGCTATTTGTTATTTGTTCATATTCAGATTGTATNCTTGAACAGATTTTATTAGATCAATTAGATGCTTGGATACAAAATCTTATTATTATATAAAAAAAAATAACTTTTTTATAAATTTAGAAACTTTTTCCCGCTAAAATTATTAAATATATCCTAAATATGGTAATTGTTGGATAATTGTGAATAGGCACAAAAACCGGCTCTTTAATTGCATTGTTTTCTTAATTCCAACTTGCAACAATAAATCCGATTGGCTTTTGGTTTAAACTTTCCCATAAAAATCTCATATCATAAATGTACACGAGTTTATCTTTTATTTGTTATATTGCATACGTTTTTTAAAAATCTCATCTCTTATCTATAAAGATTTTAAAAAATAAAATAAAATAAAAACCAATTCATAATTACTACTAGAAATCCATTATCTACTTTAAAAGGCTAATTTTCATCGGTCTAAATACTAATATTTTTACAAATATTCGAGTTTATCTTTTATTTGTTATATTGCATACGTCTCACGATTTTAAAAAATCTCATCTCTTATCTATAAACGTTTTAAAAAATAAAATAAAATAAAAACAAATTAAAAATTACTATTAGAAATCTATTATCTACTTTAAAAGGCTAATTTTCATCGGCCTAATTACTAATACTTTTATAAATATTATAAGCTAACAATACATCCTCGATAATAACGTAAAAAAATATAATAACAATAATGTGTAATCAAATATCTTTTTAGAAGTAACGTCATAAATTCGGTATTATCTGACATAATGTCTTTATTAAATTATGCTCATAATATTTTAGATACTTT